CCTGAGTCAAAGACTAAAGATCATCCCAACATTATCGAGAGACGAGTACGTCTCGAGAAGAACAGACAAAAATGCTTCAAACAGCGATTTTTCGCTTCTAACAGTATGAGGTTGGTTCTTTAATGACTTTTAAATAGTTTCAGGCTGTCAGAAAATTTGCTAAATTTGTTCTCCAAGGTCTGATAAAATGACGCCTTATTCAGAGATAAACTCTCACCGATTCACTGGTCCGTGAACTACACGTACGTGGAGTCTAAAACAGGCAGAGTCAGAGGAGGACAACTTGAGCCAGCCATAGACACCACCGTGCCGTTGGCTTTCGAGAACAAGGTAAGTGGTGAAAGTATCATTGGTAGGAAAGGAGATAAAAAGCCATACCGTCATTGTAATCGGATAAAATTTGGAAAATAACGGCATGATAAAAAAATTGCGTGCGTCTTGACACCTGAAGTTTTGCCATACGATAAGCCCGAGCTTTTCAGAAAATACGTTGGGGAAAAAATTATTTTCGTATTTACCCAACCTTAGCTATAGAAATCGCAAACATCAAATCTCAGACAATCTTCAAAATGGTTTCTTTCCTGCTGTCCATACGAACGGGATTTAGATAGATTCACCTTAAAGTTAGAAAGAGCGTGGACGAGAACTATATCAGTATTAGGTTCAGCTCTTTCAACTGTAGATTAAGCAAAAATGAGACTGATATGGTAGCCCTCAATCTTGAAAATCCGTGACGGAGCCGCTGTGTCGAATCGTGAACGATATATAATTGTTACATGATTGATTCTGACAAAATGCTGTTGGTGAATAATATCTATCCAGTTTGACACAAAGTGTAATCATCACAACTTCAGTATTTTACATATCAATTTAAAAACAATAAAAAGCAATGATAATTGGATCCTTTATGGCAAGAAGCCATGTCAATGATAAACCATAGTTCTATGGATTCAGATCAACATCGCCAACAACTGTGGAAAAGATGATGTGTGCATCCCTGACCTCAAAGTACAAGCAGCAGCGTAAGTCCCCATTCTATGGTCAATTTCAAAAGCCAACCTACTTTTCAATGTCTACAGTGACCGAGAAAAATTCATGCTTGGTACAAAGGACAACTCAATGATTGTTAATGTGACTGTGCAAAACGGTGGAGAAGATTC